TAAGCTCATCCCACACCCCACTCCCTACCTTGCCTTGTCTTTCTTTCATTTTTAGACAGGGTCTTGCTGTATAGCTCAGGTTGGCCTTGAATTTGTGGTGATCCTCCTGCCTCAGCCTCCCTAGTGCTGGGATTACAGGCGTGTACTACCACGCCCGGGTCCTCCTAACTTATTTTTAGCCATAACATTTATTGTTACTGGCCGGGCATGGCGGTGCACACCGGTTAGGAGGCACACAGGTATCAGGAGGCTAAGGCAGGAAGATCACCAGAAGTTTGAGGCTGGCCAGACCACATACTGAGTTCGAGGCCAGCCTGAACTACATAGTGAGACTCTATCTCAAAAAAAATTACATATATATTTGATTTCCCCTCTCCCTGAAAAAACTCCACAACAAAAGTAGGAAGTTTGCTGTATTTCATTCACTATATATACAATCCAAAAGAATGCCTGGCCCTTGGCCGCTACTTAATAAATACCTGTGATCCAACAAACTTCCACAAATCAGCAATAAAAAATAGGAACAGGGCCAGGGATGTAGCTCAGTGGTGCCACCACCTGCCTCGCAAGCGCAAGAATCTGAGTTCGATCCCCGATACCAAAAAAAAAGAACAACCCAAGAGAAAATGAATCAAAGAATTAAACAGGGGGGCCAGGGATTTAGCTCAGTGGTTCTGCTGCCTGCCTCACAAGCACAAGGTCCTGAGTTCGATCCCCGGTACCAAAAAGAATTAAACAGGCATTTTACAAAAGGAAAAAAAGAAGCCCAACTGGTAAATAAATGTATACAAAGATGCTTGAGTTTATTAATCATCACAGAAACGCAAATGAAGGCCAACTAAGATGCCATTTGACACCCACCAGATTGGCAAACATGAGTTATGATCATTTATTTTTGGCAAACATGAATCCTGATAGTACTAAGTGTTAATAAGGATAAGGAGTGAAGGAAACTTCTCCTGCACCTGTTGATTGGAGGAGAAATTGGAATAAACTTTATCTCTTCCTTTTCTTTCTTTCTTTCCTTGTTTCTTTTTCTTTTTTGTGCTAATGGGGTTTGGACCCTAGAAATGCTGAGCTACATCCCTCATCCTTTTTATTTTAAGATAGGGTCTGGCCAGTTATGGTGGTGGGCGCTTATAACCCAGCACTCAGGAGGCTGAGGCAGGAGGATTGCCATTGAGTTCGAGGCCAGCCTGAGCTACACAGTGAGTTCGAGGCCAGTCTGTATTACATAGTAAGACCTCATGTAAACAAAACAAAACAAAACAACAAACCAGACAGGGTCTCACTAAGTTGCCTGGGCTGGCCTCAAACTTGATATCCTCCTGCCTAAGCCCCCCAGATAGCTGGGATTATGAGTGGGCTGCACCTCGTCTGGATGGAATAAACTCCTTAGGAAATGCTCTGGTATTAACCTGTACAGGTGAGCAGGTGCCTAGCCCACCTCTGTGTATCTGTTCCTAAGTTTACAACCTGGATCGATGCACTCAGAGAGCCGCCCCTGGCCAGACGCCAACACGGGGGTGATTTTTTTAGAAACACAGAAATTAAGAGTCCGTGTTTTTGAGTTTTTACAGCAACATGACATTGCTACATTCTATTTCTTTTTATTTTTTTCTGACACTTTCGAATTTGTGATAAAACATACACAGCGGAAAACTGATCATTTAAACCATTTAGTTCATTCACATCCGCATCAGGATCGTTCACATTTTCATGCAGCCGTCGCTGGGACTTTCTTCCTCCCCAGCCTGCAGTATCTCTCCCTGTTGCCCCTCCTCCATTGCCCCTACTTTGTCTCTGTGATTTGGATTCTTCTCGGGACCTCATTTCGGTCCCTTTGTGACTCTCTTCTTTCCCTGAGTCCCTGTCTTCCCTTCCTTTTTTTTTTTTTTTTTTTCCTTCTTGTCCTGATGATCAAATTCAGGACCTTGCGCTTGTGAGGCAGGCGGTGGAACCACTGACCCAAACCCCTGGCCGTTCCCTTCCTTTTTAAGGCTGCATATAAATCCTCCCCGTGCGGGGACCACGTTTTGTCACCCACTCATCCATCAGTGGACACTTGTGTTGCTTCCACATGTTGTCGACGGTGAAAAATTGCCACACTGTTATTTATTGAATTGGGATTTATGTCTGTTGAATACAATCATTTTAAATGGGGCTTTCTACTTGGTATGTCTTTGGACTTTTCAATTTTCATTTACCAAGCAATTAGTCTTTGTTGAATTTTACTAAGGTAGCAGCCTGTGACAGCTTGGAAAAAAGTTTACTTTCACCGCAGATAATTCAAGCAGCTCCACCATCCTAGAGCAAGAGCTTTCCAACTTCCCTGAGAACCCTCGAAAGAAAAACTCTCTGCTTTGCATCCCAAGACCCACAAACATAACTGAAAGCGAAGTTTCATGAAGCAGTGCTCAGCCGTTCCTACATGAAATGCACCCAGACAGTTTCTGCTTGGCTGCTTTCGCTTAAAAAATAAACCCTTTAGATACTTCACAGGAGAAGTACAAACAACCAACAGGAAGAGATGCTCAGCCTCACTGGCGTTAGAGAAATACAAAGGAAAACAACACTGAGATTCCAAGTTACCCCAGAAAGAAGGGCCGTCGTCAAGAAATCAAATGATAACAAATTCTCGCAAAGCTGCAGGGAAGAGGGGACCCTTCTCCGCTGTTGGCAGGACCGTGAGCTGGCACGAGCACTATGGAAATCAGCGTAGAGATCCCACAAGAATCTGAAACCAGAGACTCCATTCCACCAGATGCTCCCCCTCTGGGGATCTTCCTGAGAGCGCCACGACGCAGTTATTACAGCGATCAGTTCACACTCATGTTGACAGCAGTGCAGTTCAGAGCAGCTAAATCTTGGCTGTCTGTTCTTATGTCCGATCGTGTTGTCTTTGGACAGACACACAGGCTGCTTCCAAGATTTAGCTAATCTGAGTCATTTATAGGCAAATGGACGCACCTCCAGACCGTAATGCTAAGTGAAGTAAGTCAGACACGCGAGCTTAAATATTGCATGGTTTCTCGTACATGAGAAAACCAAAATATAAATAAGGAGCAAAATAAAAGATAATAGGAGGCCTAGGATTGAACTCAGTGGTTCTGCCACCTGCCTCGAAAGTTCAAGGACCAGAGTTCGATCCCCGGTACCAAAAAAAAAAGAAACAGAGAGAGCTTTTTTGTTTGTTTTTGGTGCCGGGGATCGAACTAAGGACCCTGTGCTTACAAAGAAAGCAGCAGAACCACTGAGCTAAATCCCCAGCCCAGACAGACAGAGCTTTCTCAGATGCAAAGGGGGTCAAGAGATGGAAGGAGGGAGGACAGGAGAGCAGGTGAAGAGAGGAATGAAGGTGTGTCCTGTGCATACACCAACTCCACAAAAATAATATAAACGCTTTGCATTGCAAATGCATACTAATAAAAATAAAATCCTTATAGAAACTATTAAATTGATTTCATGACCCGCTAAAGTTCCTGAATCCCAGTTAGAAAATGAGTGCTCCTGGCAGACACCTGTAGTCCCAGCTCGTGGGAGGCTGAGGCAGGAGGATCGCGTTGAGTTCGAGACCAACCTGAGGGACACAGTGAGTCCAAAAAGCCAGCCTGGACTACATAGCAAGACTTTATTTTAAAATACAAACAGAAAGAAAGGAAGGAAGGAAGGGAGGGAGAAGGGCTGGGGATTTAGCTCAGTGGGGCCAACAACTGCCTCACAAGCACAAGGTCCTGAGTTCAATACCTGGTACAAAAAAAAAAGAGAGAGAGAAAGAGAAAGAAAGAAAGATTAGTGCTCTTCAGGAACTCTGGCACCTGTATCAGAAGCCATAGGAAAGGAGTTCTCAGTCTCATTATGCACAAAAGAAAAAAAAAACTCGAACACTATGAATAGAGACTAAATTGTGATATATTCACCCAATAGAATATTATAAGGGCCCAATCCATGTTTATTAAACAAATTAATAAGCAGTTGTGAAAGTGAAGTGCTGTTAACACAGCAACCTGCAAGAATCTTAGGAAGGTGCCAGACATGGTAGCGCACACCTGTCATCCCAGCATGCGGGAGGCGGAGGCAGGAGGATCTCCACGGGTTTGAGGCCAGCCTGGGCTACATAGTGAATTCAAAGCCAGCCTGAACTACACAGCCAGACCCTGTCTCACCCAAAAAATAAATAAATAAATAAATAAATAAATAAAAAAGAGACTCTTAAAAACACAATGGGGATGCAAACCAAGCACGGAGGAGAGAAAAGAAGGGGGGACATCCCTCAGATCCGCCTCTCAAGGACAGAGGCCCACTCATATCCAGCTCTGTATTTCTCATCTTAGCCCAGAATCTGCACTCTCGGGGGTAGTTGTGTCCTGCATGAATGAATGCGTTGCTTAATGAAACAATGAATGACTATGGCAATGAAGCAAAGGATGCTATGCATTAGAAATGCTATGATCCCAGCATTCAGGAAGCTGAGGCAGGAGGGTCTCCATGTGTTCAAGGCCAGACTGGGCTACACAGTGAGACCCCATCTAAAAAAAAAAATGTTGACATTTAAGCCCCAGCATGATGGCATCAGGAGGTGGGCCTGCTGGTAGGGGATCAGGACCCAGACAGAATCCGGTCTGTATGGGAAAGGACCCCAGAGGTCTCTTTCTACCACAAGAAGCAGGCGATCTGCAACCCAGAAGAGGGCCTCACCAGCCTCACCCGACTGCGCACTGAACACGACTCCCAGCCTCCAGAGCTTGGGCCATGACTTTCTGAGGTTTACAAGCCACTCGCTTCGTGACATTTTGTTAGAGCGACCCAAGCTGACCGAGATGCTGGTACATTGAGGGAAATTACTCAGCCTCTCTGAACCTTGGCAAACGACAACAGAGGCATTGGTGATCAGATGTTCATCAAGAGACCAGACAAGCACACAGCAGGGCCAGGTCTGTGAGGTTAAATGAACCCTGCAGCGGGGCAGATCCGCACTCCTGGGCTCTCACCCTGCGCTGTGTTCTCGGTGCTGGTCCCTGCGGTGCTCAGAATTCCACGCAGAAGAGACTTTCTGCCTCCTCCTCTGCGGAAAGCCGTCTTTAGGGAATCTCGCTGGCTCACTCGAAGTCCTGGGGCCACTGTTGCCATTCTGCTAAGACGGTCGCCTTGGCGCTCGCTCCTTTGCCACTGTGCAGAAAGTGGTGTCCAGGTTCCCTGCCCTGGCCGCTGACCCCGGCGCTCCGTGCCGCACAGGTTGGCTCTGCCTCCAGCCGGAGCCACTTTCCCCACGGCCTCCACTCCACCTTCGCACACCCAGCGGACCACACCACCTCCTCCGCTCCCAGGCCCGGAAGGCTCGCCTTGGGCCTTCAGCCTTCAGCCCTGCAAGAATCTACAAAGGGAGAAAGGTGCCCACCGGGAGACCAGGGATATAAAAACAGGCTTTATTTCCAGATTGCTCTCGGACTTGGCCACGGTCCTGGGAGCGGGGGAGGGATTCCCTCCCTCCTCTTTCCAGAGTGGCATCGAGCACGGCAGGGAACGGTGTGGGCTCCGGCTCTGACTTCCTGCCCGTTAGCTCCTCCGGGACTCGGGTGGTCTCATCCGTGAAAGGGGGTGGCACCTGTGTCCCCTGGAATGGGTGAGGCGGTGCCGCTGGATCGCTCTTCGGGGCTGAGACACTCATTTCCCAACCGCAGCGGGTGCTGGCTGCTCCCTGGCCCCTTCCAGGGAACACTTTTGACCAAGATGCCCGGCCCAAGATGCCGTCCCCTTGCTGGGTCAGTGGGGGGTAAAAAAAGCCTGCCTCCCTGGCTGGACGGGCAGCTCTGTGGGGCCACCCCAGCTTGTGAGCACCCCACAAACCCCCGAGGCCTCCGCGTGACTGTTCAGCTTCTCCACCCAGTCCAGCTTCCTCTCCTCCCGCACAGGTACCCTTCCCACAACAGCTCCTCCAGAGCCTGCCTGCGAGGAAATCTGGGCCTCGAGTCTGTTTCCCGGGAAACCTGACCTGCACCAGTTGGCTGGCCGCAGAAAGCAGCTGGAACACGGAAGTCGGAGCCGTATCCCTGGCTGGCTGGCGGGGACCGAGGACCCCCTTCCTCCGGGGGGGCGGGACGCCCGGAGCCCGTGGCACGTGCACTGGGGTGGGACACCAGGGCCATCACTGCACTCGAGCGTGCGGCCTAGGCCCTGAGCGGCTCTGCATACGTAGGCGTGGGAAAGACTGCAGGATGAGGGCTGTGGCGGAGGACGCAGGAACATCGATTCGCTGGAGAGAGACAAGGAACGGCCAAGAATGATTAATCACCAATCTAAGGCAAAATGTGAGAGCTGGAGGGTGTCTTTGGCAGCATAAAAAAAAGAAACAAACCTCTCCTCTGTACCAGAGGGCAGAGAGAACTGAGGACCGGAACTTAATTATAAGAGGAACTGGACCCCAGGGAAGATTGAATCCTCAACTCCCGCAGTCTGTGATGCCGAGGTCAGGGACCTGTTTGGGGAAATGGGGCCGAGACTCCCAGGAGCCCACAGCCAGGTCTGCGGTCCCAGCTCAGCTAAGACGAGGTCTGCTTCCAAGATCACTCTCTGGCTGCCGCAGGCTTCCAAGCTCTTTCCGGAGCTGCTGGACCCTGGCGGTTTGTATCTGGATGTCCCCCTAGATGGGGGCTTATTGCTGAGTCCCTGGTAGGGGTCAGGTCCACAGAGGCCGGTTATGGGGCGTGGCCGGAGGAGTCGCTCTCCCCGCCAACCCCTCCCTTCACTCTCCCAGCCTCGGGGCCCCAGGCCCCTGAACAGCTCTCCTCCGCCCCAGAGCCGGCTGACCCTGGACTGAAACCTCTGTAAGGTGAACCAAAATAAACCTCTGCTCCTTTGAGTTGTGGATGTTGGCTGTTGTGTCCCAACAACAGGAGTGACTGCGACAGAGACCTTGGGACCTCACCAGGGGTTCTGAGAGTCCTCACACCATAGCAGCCCGGTGACAAGACAGACAGAGGGAGCCCGACGTGGTGCTGCACGCCTGTAATCCCAGCATGCTGGACGCTGAGGCGGGAGGATTTCCTTGAATTAGAGGCTACATAGTGAGTTGAAGGCCAGTTTGTGCTACACAGTGACTCAGAGAGAGAGGGAGAGAGAGGCCATAGTCTTTTGCACTCTGATCCCAGAAGGGCTGTCCCACAGCTTCTGCCATTTTCTGTTTGCTAGAAGAAAGTTACCAGGTCCAGCCCACACTGAGGGGACAATCCATAAGGCAGTGAACGCCAGGAGGTCAGAATCACTGAGGACCAACTTGAACTCTACCTACCACTACCTAGTAGACTTTTCTGGGTTCTGGAGATGCCTTGAAAACAGTGCCAGCCCGTTTCCCCGGAAGGCCATCCACTGGCAGTGGGGCCCAGAGCAAGCGCAGCCCTGCAGCAGGTACAGGCTGTGTGTAAGTGGCGTTGTCAGAGACACAAGAGGTGCCAGTGTTAAGAAAGATTGTCCTGTGTCTGGCAAGTGTTAAGAAGAATCACAATGCAGAAGCCAGGCGTGGTGGTGCACGCCTGTAGTCCCAGCACTTGAGAGGCTGAGGCAGGAGGATCGCTGTGAATTCGAGACCAGCCTGGGCGAGTGAGTTCCAGGTCAGTCTCAACTACATAGTGAGACCCTGTCTCAAAAAAACCAAAAAAAAAAAAAAAAAAAAAAAAAAAAAAAAAAAAAGAAGAAGAAGAAGAAGAAGAATCACAATACAGACACACAAGGACGCACCATATGCAACAGAAAATTACACTGGCCAGAGGTGGCAAACCTATGGCCCGCATGCACAGTAAGCTGTTTGTACCACTGAAAGCTCACCGTTATGGTCATGGGCCATCAAACAGCAGCTCCTGAGTGCGCTTCTGAGCCATGGTAGACACGGACTGTGTGATTATGGGACATCCAGGGACCGCACAGCCGGAGTGGCTGTCTCCAGGTGGATTCTGTCAGACCATGTCATAAAGCTTTGTGGGCTCAGAAATACCCCACCATAAGATGCAAGAGGTGTATCTAGGATCCAGTACGTAAGCCGCACAGTCGGGAGGACCACACTCCTACATCACCTGCAATGCACCCAAGCGCAGCTCCCCCAATTCACGGCTGTGGCCCTGTGGAGAATCCTTCGTGGCCCGCTGATGAGAAAGTGAAGACTGACCGTGGTCCATGGGTGGTCGGCTCAGTAATGCACGTGTGGACTGACCAGGAGCCGCTGCTCCACCTAGTGTAGGAGGTGTGGTCACCGCAGAGGTAGGAATGGAGAGAAATCCTTCAGTGTTCAGGGTGGTACCAGTGCTCAGGGAACGTGCACCTGGCCATCCACCGCAGGCAAAAAAAAAAAGTGGCCTGAAGTTAGAGCAGACACTGACTCATGGGCAGAGGAGAATGGCTTGGTCTTTTAGTCGATAGTCTGGAAGGGAAAGATTGGGGAATTAGGGACAAGGTGATCAGAGAAATCTAGTAGATGGATCTTTGGAACTAGGCATTAAGTGTGCAGACCTTCTGTAGGTGAACACCTGTCAAAGGGTGTCCGCCGTGGCAGAGTTGCTAGCAAGCAAGTAGAATTTCACAGGTAGCCAGCCTCTGTCGTCAGCCACCCCCGTGAGGCATAATGGCCATGAAAGAGTCACCACAGTGGCAGGAACAGGAGCCTTCAGGGAGCCAACAGCATGAGCTCCTGCTCCACCTCATTACTGCTGGTCCTTGTCACGGCCACCACCAAATGTCCGACCTGCCAGCCAGAGACACCGGCGCTGAGCACCTCACCTGGCACCAGCCTTCCCAAGGAACAGCCAGGACTTGGGGAAACGCGACTACACTGTAACCTTTCCACTCTGGCAGGCAGAGAAGACTGGATTTGACACAGAGTCCATGCAAGAATTTGTCTTTCCTGTTACAGGATCAGCCAGTGCCGATGGTTCAGGACGCAGGATCTCATGCAGTGTATTAGACCAAGAGACCCACCTTACAACCAAGGAACGGTGGCCGTGGACGTCTGATCCTGGAGCCACTGGTCCAGAGACATACTACCCTGATTATAGGCTTTCGGCTCCACTGAGGGATGCAGTGGTCTTCGGAAGGTCGCTCAAGTACCAGTTTACAGATGATGTCCTGCGAAGATGGAACGTTGCCCTCCAGGACACAGTTGAGCCCGGAATCAAAGACCATGATATGGTGCTGTGTCCCAGGCAAACAGAATCTATGGGCCCAGGGACCAAGAGGTGGAAGCAAGCATGGCTCTGCTTTTCATTACTCTCAGGTACAGAGGGCTTGGTGCACAGAAGTTTCCTTCGGTCAGGGACACAGAATCCAGCCGAAGTTGAAGCTACGTGTCCATTTCTCTGGTGTGAAGACGCCAGCAGTTAAGAAATCTCACCACCAGGCGGGGTGATTCACTATTATCACCACATCTGACCCAAGATAGTCCACTGGGACCCTCTTCACCCCTGTGTCCAGCATTGGCAGTAAAGAGACAAATGTGACAGCCACACCCTAAGACCTACAGCGCTGCAGAAATCAGTCGACACGCTGAGAATGACAGGAATCTCGAACAAATGCAGAGCCTATAGCAGAAGCCTGGAAAGTTGGGACAGTTGTTCGTTCTACTCCCTCCTTTATGTTTCCCCAGAAAAAGAACCCCAGAGGGAACAAAATTACTATATTCAGCAAGGGAATCCAAGCACGAAAGAGTGGACTGTAGTGGATACCGTAGTATTTCCCTCACGCCTGTCCCCTTCTAAAGAACAGAGGCTTGCCAGGCGTGGTGGCGCATGCCTGTGATCCCAGCACTAGGGAGGCTGAGGCAGGAGGATCACTGTGAGTCCGAGACCAGCCTGGGCTACACAGTGAGTTCCAGGTCAGTCTCAACTACATAGTGAGACCCTGTCTCAAAAAAAACCAAAAAAAAAAGAACAGAGGCTTGCCAGGCGTGGTGGCGCATGCCTGTGATCCCAGCACTAGGGAGGCTGAGGCAGGAGGATCACTGTGAGTCCGAGACCAGCCTGGGCTACACAGTGAGTTCCAGGTCAGTCTCAACTACATAGTCAGATAGTGAGACCCTGTCTCAAAAAAAACCAAAAAAAAAAGAACAGAGGCTTTCCTTCCTCCAGACCCTTCCACTGCGCTGTTTCTGTGTTGGAGCCAGCCCACATGGACTGGACCTTCTGACACCGTGAACCAAAACAACTCTCTCCTTTCCATTGCAGTTGCTGAATGACTCATATACCCAGCTCCAGAAGTGCTGGTCTCTAACAATCCACAAGTCAGCTCCTCTCCAGCCACTGCCCTCAGACAGAGGATGATGCTTTGCCCAAATTTAGGTCCCCTCCCTGGAGACAGCCTGCGTGGTTAGGACTTGTTAATGAGGAGAAAAGAGGGCTGAGCCCCTTACTTTAAGCGAGACCATCCCAGATCCAGCGCTCTCCTTAGAGTCTGTGGAGACCGCTGTTGTAACCCTAACCCCTCTGCTCAATCCGTGTGCCGGGACCTTCACAGGTGCCATTCCAGAGAGGACCCCTCCCGCCGGCACACAGATCTCTACTTGGATGTCTTTTCCCACAGAAACCCACATTTCCACACACGGTTGGCGTCAGAATTAAACGAATTCACATCAGAACGTGCTTGGAATGGTACCTGTCCCGGAGGAAGACCTACTTAGTGCGTATCTGTCACACCCTCCCCAGGACTGGGCAGTGCTCTGCCCTCGTTCCTCAAAGCTGGACTCTTTCTGTTGCTACCGCACATCAGAATCTTCCACTGTGGAACCCATATAACACGGATGATAGGTGAAGTGATTTTAGATATTTCGGGCAGTAAACGGACAAATACCTTTTATTTTAATTGTCCTAGTTCTTTTTTCTTTTTGTTTTGAAACAATGTTAGATTCACAGGAGGTTGCAAAAAAAAAAAAAAAGTGTACAGGGCAGTCCTGTTCCCCCTACTCCCAGTATGTCCCGATGTTAATATTTTACACAGTAAGAATACCCAGTCAAAACCATGAAATTGCTACTGATAAAATCCATAGAACTCACTTACATTACTTTTATTTTGCTTTGCTGATGGTCCTGGGGTTTGAACCCAGGGCCTTTGCACTGAGCTACATCCCCGGCCTATCTGTTTATTTACTTAGAGACAGGGTCTCTCTGAGTCCCTAAGTTGCACAGACTGGGCTCAATCTTGCAATCCTCCTGCCTCAGCCTCCCAGAGTGCAGGATTATAGGTACGCACCACAGTAGCCAGCTGTCATCAGTCCTA